CCCCCCCCTTCTCTCTCTATTTTTCACCCACTTTCCCAAACTTGTAGATGATGTAAATAAAAGCTCCTAAAATGTAGCGACAATTCCTTTATTGAATCTACTCTAAACCTTATGATTATTCTTTATAAATTCTTTAAGGCAACTGCAAATCTGCCCTAATCCAAGTCTTTTTAAAGGTGAAAAGAGATTCCAAAGCAACCCATCAATTGTTCACATTGCAACATGTTAGAAATGTCAAGACTCAAAAAGCATTTGCCATTCAAGAAGAGCACGTTATCATCACTTCAGTTGTAGAACTAAAATGTTTCAAAAACCACAGATGAGATGGCCAAAACTAAGCATTAGACTGTAAGGATATGTTTCCTGTCCTATTCATGGCATATATGTAACTAAAGAAGCTTAAAGTTCGTGATTTACCCAGTACCTAGGTTCAAGTTCGAAACTAGACTTTACAAGGACTAACTCACACATCCTTCATCATAATTATCGGTTTCCAGCTACCCAAACCATCATAAAGCAGATAAAATCCAAAAGTTAAAGCCCATCTAAAGCTAAACCTTGTAAATTAAAATAAGAAGACAGCTAAGACTAAGTTAACATCAAAATGCATTATGTAGACAACTTACTTGTATATTTGCTCCAATTGGCCTTCTTCAACAGCAAGATCTTGGCTCTTTTGCCCAGACAAAATAACTACAGTTTTAAATATACGCCCATAAAGCAATCTCCATTCAAGAGCAGTACGATCTACAGGACCATTGCAGAACATAATAAGCACCACATTCCCATAATTCTTCCTCCATCTGATCAAGTTTCCAATTTCAGAAGTCACAGTCCCCGTTTCCTCAACCCCAAGATGAACAGATGGCAACTTTTGAGGGACAAACTCTTTCCGGTCTCCATGGCCAATACTCGCGCGAGGTCGATCTAATTCTAGCGACATTAGCCTTGGCTGTTGGTATCCAACAGCAAGCAAGTCCTGAAGCCAAGCAGCAGTGAACTTTACATCCTTCTCGGTCCAGAATCCTTCTTCCGCCATCGCAAAACTTAAATCCAGTATCTTCTCAAACAATCTATGCTTCCCTGATCTCCAAGAAACCAAAAACTTAGTCAAACGACCTACATTCACATGAAGATCTTTCTCTTCTGAAAACGGGTATGCCTCAGTCCTATCATATCGATGAACTGTGGGGGGATAAACCACAACATAGCCACCAATTTCCCACAGCATCCTCTGCCCCCAGTAACCCCTCAACACATCTGAAGCCATTGAGCTAACAGAAACAGGAAGCATCAAAGCCCAAAACGCCGAAGAATGGTAAATCGTATTGAACGAATTAACAGGCACCATCATACCTTGTGGCAATGCCACTTTTGGAGCTTGGTCATCGAACCTAATGTCAAAGGCTTCCAGCCCCGATTTTCGGGTGAAATAGAACACTGAATCGACATCAGGAAGCCCAATCGAAATACCCTGTTGAATAAACTGCTTCCCACCAAAAATCTCAGTGTAATACTCTTCATGCCCAATTTCACCAGCATTCTCCAATGGCAAGCCCCTAGGCCAAACCGACCTCTGCCCAAAATGGATATAAGGGTTCACAACAGTCCTATTAGGGTTCTCATGGCTATACTGCAAAATCGTCTCTTGCCTAGCACCCTCTCCCACCAACTTCACATCAAAATGCTTCCCCAAATCCCCTTCGATCACGTCGCCGCGATCGTCGGCGTCGAAGATCTTCTTCGCACCGTGCTGAATAGCAAACAAATACCCAACACTCTTCCTAACATACGAATCATAAGGAACATAATCCAAAACTCGGAAACCTAATTTAGCTTGTTCATCTAGAGAGAGAAAGATCGCACCTTTCAGCCCCCAATCGGCCGGCGTTTTCGAATTCCCGATCGCCAGCACCTGCCATCCCTTGATCTTCAACATCCCCCGCAGCGAATCCGTCGGATAATCCGAAACCGACACCACGATCCACCTCTCCGCCCGGAAATTCACGTACGGAGAGCTATTATCGGCGATCGGCGGGATCGAATTCCAGTTCACTTTCGGAAACTTGATCGTCTCGATCGCCTGCGCCTGGCTCTCGAAGCAGAGCAGCGCCGCGGTATCGCCGACGTTCCGGAGGAAGAACAGCGCCGCGACGGTGCCGATCAGGACGACGACGGCGAAGATTTTGTAGAGATTCTCCGACAACCATGCCGAGAAATCTAGGGATTCGGGCTCCGAGAATCGAGTGGGCAAACTCCTGATCCGAGACTGAGATTGCTTTGGAGACTTGGGAATCGCACGGTCCTGAACCAACATTTCCCAAATCCCAAAAATCAAAAATCAAAATCCCTAGATTTTCTCTCCGTTTTCTTAGCTCAGATTCAAATATAGCAAAAATGGCAAAATTCTCTGCACAAGAAATGCGGGAAGAGAAGAGAACTGAGGAAGTCTTAACTCTGAAGTGTTTTTGTCAGTATGTTTTTCTGTTAATAATATCATTTCTTTTCTTTTTCTTTTTTGGCTTTTTGTTTTAGTTTGATGTTTATTTTTTATTTTTTTATTTTTTTAATTTTCGGTTGATTTGTTTTGCCGACAAGTTTCTGGTGAGGGAGATGAAGAAGAGTTGGTTGGATTATTGCTTGGGATTGAATATAACTGCTGTGCTACTTGCCGTTTGGTGGGGCTTCACTGTCTTCATACTTCTCTTCTTCTGCCAATCTGCATTTCCTTTCTTTTTTTTGTTTTTTTTTTTTTAAATTATTCATTTGCTTATTTGGATTTGGATTATTGCTTTTTCTTTTCTTTTTTTGTTTGATTCTTCTGCAAGAAAGGGAATCAAAGTGGAGAAGTGGATTGATTGTGTAATGTTTTCGTCTAGTTTAATATTATTGTAATAAATTTGATGTGTGTGTCTGACAATGATCTGGCTTAAGATGTTTCTTCTGGCTCTTATATTTTCAATAATGAAATTTGTATTTACTTTTAGTTCTTTCTTGGGGGTTTTGTGGTTGCAAAACGTAAGAATGTGACATGAAATTATTTATAAGCCTTTGATTTATTCAAAAATCATTCATATTCATGTTAAAAAAAATATACAATATAGATAATTTTTAGTAATTCATTTATTAATACTTACTAAAAAAGAATAAATGATTATTAAAATGGAGACTTTTTAGTAGTTTATTAGTAAGTACTTTTCAGATGTTCTTTTAAGGATAATTCTTTCGATTTACATCAAAACTAGAAATAAAGGAACAAAATTAAAGTTGTTGTGAATCACTTATTCAACTAAGAAAGAAATATCCAAAATGATACAGTAGTTAAGCACGTGAAATTTTGCTAGACTCACTAGAAAATGTAAAATAAAACTTGAATCAAATAATTAGAAATTGGACAAATTTGACTTGTTCATTGATTTTAATCTTTATTGTTTCCTTGATGTGGGACTAATTAAGGCCTCATTAAAAAGCATTGTAACCAAAATTGTAGTAAATAGTAGATTTTTGAAATTAAATTAATTAAATAGTAATTTTTAAAAGATTTAAAGTAATTAGTAGCTTATCATGTAAATATTTTATTTACGAATGATAAAAAATAATTTACATGATAAAAAATTTTTATTTATGTGAAAAATAATTTTTTTATTAGTTGTAAAAAATTTACGTTAAATTTTTTTTACACGTCGTAAAAAAAATATTTACGCAATAAATTACTATTTATTTTAAATAATTTAAAAATAAGACAGGCCACGATTGTACTTTTGTAAGTAGTTTACAAATCTACGCCCCAAACGCATCACACCCACAGAATTTTGACTTGGAAGAATAATGGGGAATGTATGCAGATTGCAGAGCATTTGATTGATTTTTGTAATCGAGAAGGATTTCAAAGTGTCACCTACAAAAGTGGGTTGTCAAGATAAATGTTTTTTTTTTTTTTTTTTAGATCTCTCTGTCTTTTCTTTTTATTTTTCCCCATCATCTGGATAGTTGTCTCTGCAAAATGGCAATTTACCGACATGTAATATGGTAAGATTGGATGTAACCCGCACGTGTTTCGTGTCATGGGATGTAATATAATAGGATTGGATGTAATATAATAGGATTAGATGTAATATTACCTTTTAATACTCATACCGGTGAGCACTAAATCAGTAATATCAAATACTTCATGTCACTAAACTAGATATGCAAAAGACTTGTGCTACTCCATGATAAACTTGTGCCTAACTAGCTTTGCAAGCACTAGGATTACATTATAATACAATGAAGGGTAAAAATAAAGTTTTTTAGCTCGTGGGAAAGTTATATTATTTTAAGATGAGGGTAGTGAAAGAATCCTCTAATTTACTAAGTGAAGAGTGGTAAAACAAAAGGCATCAAGACTTAGCATGGTAAAACAATATGAGAAGGAGAGTAAAATAACCATCCAAATAGTGAGAGAGGAGTAAAATATAACCACCACTAAGTAGTGAGAGACAAAATTAGTCAATAACTATAGTTATTGAGAGACATGCTTAGATTTCAAAATCATTTTCTTAGATTGGAGAGGCATTCTTAGATTTCACAATCATTTTCTTAGATTGGAGAGGCATTCTTAGATTTCACAATCATTTTCTTAGATTGGAGAGGCATTCTTAGATTTCACAATCATTCAGACCTAGCATATTACATAAGCAGACAAGTAGTCAGGGAAGAAAGCATGAAAATAACTTAGATAGCCTACGAATTAGAAGTGACAAACAAGAGGGAGTAATGAAATCTAAGGGGTGAAGATAGTCTAAGAATAATCAAGAGTTGAGAGAAATAGATTAAGAGATAGAAGTTTTTTGATATAAATCTGGTTAGTAACATGGAGTAACCATCCCCAATTACCGATTTAGGCAAACATTAGTTCTGAGAATTACATCTTCCCAATACAATTTCATGACATTGTGTGCATAATTAATTGTCCTTTGGATCATGATTTAAACATCATTGCTAATCTCCCAAGGTAAACATAGGTATCGTATGCTTAATATTTTATAAACTGATTTTATACTAAAGTATGCACGTACATTTATACTTATCTGTAAAATTTTTGTTGATCTTGTTTACCACATATTCTAACATATGGCATGCGGATGTTCCCCACAAATCCGGGAACACCGTGTAGCTACAAGGATATATCATATGTCTAGGGGCTACTAGTACTGCTGCGCTGAGAACTCCTTACTCATAGTTGTTGGAAAAAAGCATCGAGTGCGCAGTAAAATTTTAAAAAATTTAAATCAATGTCAAAGCCAACTAAAAACATATTCATGATGCTATATAACATAAATATTAAAGATCTAAATCATACATTCAGAGATTTAGAAAACAGCACGTCTGACATATCAAAGCTTTTCAAACAACAACTGGAAGAGCCTCAACCAATTGGTCTTCTTTACTATTCTCGTTTCTACGATCAGAGTGCGGGTGGCCACACGTCGTTCAATCTCCCCTTGGTATTCTTGAACTCCTTCCAACCACAAGAGAGCCAAAGAAAAAAAAAATTGTTCTTGAGAATTAAACAATTTTTTCTCTCATAATTTTTTTGCCAATAGCCCCCAAAAAGTCTTTCAAGCGATCTAATGAATAATGTGACTTATTGGGCTATTTATAGAGTTTAGGAAGTCATATACCATAACAATTAGGTTTCTCAAAGTTTATCCCGCTTACAGAGTCAGTTTCGCCACATCAGCATTCGCTACGCGTTACAACCGGTCGGTCGGTGACAGAGAAGTTATAACTCACCGGTTGACCTGTTTTAACTAGAGAAACTTATTTTTCTAGTTTTTCAACACGAGACACTTGCACAGAGCCTTAGTTTTGATTCAAGCAACCCAATAGGAAGGTTACTTGATCAAAACAGTCATATAATAGTCTTCCCACATTAAATAACTCTCAAAACAATAATTCAACTAATTTATTTAGAATTAATTTAACAATTAATCCTCCCGATAAATTTCTCATGAATTCAACAACCCGAAACATTAATTCAACCAATTTATCTAGATTTAATTCATCAATTAATTCACCCGATAAATTACTCATGAATTGAACATTCACAAACATTAATTCAACCAATTTATCTAGAATTAATTCATCAATTAATTCACCCGATAAATTACTCATGAATTAATTAATCAATCTCATATTAACTTTGAACCTCTTTTACGAAAATAACACAAGTTACCAATATGTAGGAAATATGTCGTATTGTTACAGGAAATTGTGTGAGCTAGAAAAAGGACATGATGGACATATATAGATCAAGCTCCTATAATCATAACGTTACTTATAAACCAACAAGTCCGTCTCATGATTATAAACTCTAGCGCTACTCCACTAAAAGCCTAAAGCTGCACTCTCGATTTATATAGCACATTTACAAAGCTCTGAATAGATCTCGTCCATGACTCAATATATTAGTGTATCATCCCCATAGGATATCCATAATCGACTTAAGGTCATAGCTGGCAAGACCTTTGTGAACGAGTCAACCATATTATCATCTGACGTGATCTTGCATATTTTCACATGCCCTTCTTCAATAAAGCTCCTTATCACATGATACTTCATGTCTATATGCTTACTCATTTTCTGGTATCTTGGTTCTTTATTGTTAGCTATTGCCGCACTGTTATCACAGTACAGTCTCAATGGCTTATCCACACCGGAAACTACTTAAAGATCCATAAGAAATTTACGGAGCCACACTGCTTCTTTTGAAGCATCACTAGCTACCACATACTCGGCTTTCATCGTTGAGTCAGCAGTGCAAGTTTGCTTAACACTCCTCCAAACGACAGAACTACTGTTGGGAATAGTGTCCTAGAAGCATGAGATGTAAAAGGATATTTATTATTTATTTAATAAAAGAGTTTATTCATCATTTTATGTGCATATATTTATGAATATTTTATGAATATCAAATAAAATTCCTTGATTATTTATGTAACCTTAAACATGGTATATAAGTGTTGTATACGAGAGGATAATGTTTAAGGATAATAATCAAAAGTAATTGTTCATAATGAATTTAATTAAAGTTCACGATCTTTAATTAAAACATTATTAATACATGTCATTCCCATTTAGAATGGAACGGTGTTATCCGCACTGTTAATATGGCGAGATATTGAATGAGTGTATTTCGCATAATAAGATTATGT